CTCTCAAACTTACACCACTCCACTCTCCTAATTTATTAGAAAACGACAATGGAATCTAAAAATAATCAGTGGAGAAGGCCATAATAAGATATGCTGCAATATTCATCAAACATAATACATTTTTAACACACCCTCATGTGTAGAATGACATGAGCCAAACATGCACACATGACACAACTTTACATTACGTGCACCATGACTTAAACCAAACATGCAGACAATCAATACTAAGTGACATGATAGCTTAAGTGGTTATATCCAGCTCAAATCCAAATTGGCAATGAGTAAGGTGAGAGACTATATAAGGCTTACTAATTGATTTACCCCTGAAACTGCCATCTAGTCTCACTTTACACCATGAAACTGGTTTTGTCTCACTTTGTCCCATGAAGCTGCCATTTTCATCTCATTTAGTCTCAGTTCAACCCATTTTCTTAACAGATGTGATTAATGTTTCATTCTTCTTTGGCTATAGATGTGATTAAAAATTTAGGGCAAGAACATTCAGTCGCACCAATCAAGAATGATGTATCTAGAACCACCATTGAAGAGGGAATTATAGTGGAGCACAAGGAACACGCCACTACCCCCAAAAAATCCAATTTGGCTGAGAGCACCCGTAGTGAATTTGTTGACAGTGCTGCTACTTTTGAGCCTTCGTCGCAATATATTGGTGAGCCATTTATTCCAATTCTCATTTCAACTAATCGGTTGTTACCTTCTTTGGTTTAGGTGCTCAATAGAATCCAAGCTGGTGGGAGAGTTAACATTGACTTTAGGAAGCTTAACGCCACAATCAGGAAGGATCATTATCCCCTTCCGTTCATAGATCCAATGCATGGAAGTTTTGAGGAGCAAGTCGTGGAGGAAATACCCCTCCATGCCGTGGACCCTAGGGGAACTTAAAAGGAGGTATTGCCCAGCTGGAAGACGTTAAAGCAAGCGCTTCTTAGGAGGCAACCCATGCGTTCAAATAAAGAAGACCTAGGAATCTTGGGCTCCATAACCAGATTTGCATTCCTAAACTCTACTCTTTATTGCTTTTACTTTGCCATGATTGTCGTGATTGTTAGTTGTGTTGTTTGCTAGCTTACTTGTGAGTCTTTGTATGAAACATTAAGGACAATGTTTGGTTTAAGTGTTGGGGGGGGGATAAATAAAGTGTTTTTCATTTATTTTCGTGGGATTTTAGCACCTAGCACCTCTAGAGTTGTTTCTCACTGTTTTTAAGTGTTTTTAGTGTGTTTTGAAGTGCTTTAATGTGTTTTGAAAAAAAAAATGAAAACTTGAAAAAAAAATTAGAAAAAGTTTTGAAAAACCCAAAAAGAGTCGTTTTTGTGTGTTTATGTCTTAGGGTACCTTCCAACACAATGATGAGGATTTGGTTTTTAATTGCATGACTGTTAAAAAAAATTACAAACATGGGTGGAAGTTTGATAAGCTCTTTGGTTAATACTTGGTTGTAGTTGTCATTAACGAATTCACATGTAATCACAAAGGAAAAAAAATCAGTTTTTGTAACATGCTTGAAGGAATGAACTCAAACTAACACTACAACCCTGAGAGACTTGAGCCTATTCCTTGTTTGGAGAGCTATTAATATGTGAATTCTTGTTTTCTAAAGTCGTTGCATGATTTCATTGTTTCTTTGCTTGGTTGCTACTTGGAATGCGTTTTCATCATTATAGTTCCAAATACTAGAACTCATGCCCGTTTCATTCAAAGCTTAAAATTGAGTGCATAACATATAACAAGATGAAGTTGTTTAGTTAAACCAGAGCCAAAATGTTTTGTAGGTTTAACCCCTTTGAGCCTCATTTAGCCTATTGTCTTTGTTAGCCACATTATCCTTACCTAGCCTAGAATAGGACTATCCATACCCTTGTTCTTAAAGTATAGTGGAGCATGACTTAGAGGGAATTTCTTTTGATCAAACATTATGCAGAAAAACAAGTGTGGGGGAATGTAATTTCCAAAAGAAAAGAAGAAAAAAAAAGTAAAAAAGAAAAGAAAAAGAAGAAAAAATTGAGAAAAGAAAGGAAAAGAGTTGAGAAATAAGTGAGAATAAACTCACAAGTATTGGTTGTTGAAGAAAGGGTCCAAAAGTTTGAATCCGGCCCTAAGTGTTTTGTGAATCTCCCCCTTGTGTTTAAAGTTAGTTGCTGCATTCAAAAGTTGAATTCTAAGTGTTGATTTCATTATTTTTGCGTACTATTGATTTAAGAACCTTTGTTTATCCTTAACCTTTCTTTGTTATCCAATACCCTAGCCCCATTACAACCCTATGACTTGTATCTTGGTTGTTATGTGTTTCAATATGTGGAGTTTGAAATTGGTATGGGCATATGGAATCCCTGGTTCTTGCTTCTAAGTAGTGGCATTCCGTTCATGAGATCATATATATACTTACATTAATAATTCCAGAAAGTACCTTCTTTGATTATAACATATGTGAGTGTTAGTCTACATGTTTACATCAATCTTCTCACATATACCTAGTATAGGGAGTGTAGTCAGAAAATCTGTGTAAAAATAGAGAGTATATCTGGTGAGGAATTAAGGGAATTCTCTAAGGCATGTTACTACATTCAAAACATTGTTTTAATTGATTGAATGCGAGCTAGTGAGTGGTGACTGCGATTAAGTATGAGCTCGAAGGTAAGGATAGCTAAAATTTGTGGGAGTAGTGATTTTTAACATGTCATGTTTCATTGGAAATCCATAAGGCAATTGTTGGAAGGTTTAGGTTATGTTTTGTTTGCTTTGTTTTGCTCGAGGACTAGCAAAAGCTAAGTGTGGGGGAATTTGATAGGAGCATATTTATACAACTTAGTTAGCTTGTTTTCTTGCATTTACATAGCTAGTTTCTACTTATTAGAGTGTTTTAAGTTATTTTCGTGTGTTTTCAGGTTCAAATGACAAAGTTGGCAAGAAAGTGCAATTTGGAGCATTTTGGAGTAGTTTTGGGCCAAGAATGGGTAGCACATGCATGGAGCAAGGTGGATGGACGTTTTTGAAGTTTAAAGAGGCTAGGAATGTGCTACAAATATGGAGAAATTAAATCAAGGCTTGGAAGATAAGGAATCAGCTAAAGAGAAGGAACATTATCCAAAACCTTATCTTATCCAACATTATCCAAAACTTTATCTTATCTTATCCTAACATTATCCTAATCCTATTCTACCTAAATTTCAGCTGCAAGGGGGATTCCTTATCATATTAAACCACCTCTTATCTGATTTCTAGGAGTCCTAAAACAATGCTAAGAACTAATCCTTTTCCTCCACAAACAATGCCGTGTATCTGCCTGATAGATAAACCCATCTCTCACCATAATTCAAACAACACACACAGGAGCAAAAAAAAATCAGAAAACTACAATTGTGCCGCAGCTTTGCAAGGAAGGAAGAAGAGGAGACCCTTGGAGCCATGCCTGCCATTCAAGGCTTTGGATTGCTGGAACGTTCCTAGGTGTATTCTATCCTTAGTTTTAGTTCAATGATTAAATTAGATTGTCTTTGTTTAATTACAACCATGTGGAACTAAATTCATTTTAGCTAGAGCAGAATTCAAAGTCATGAACATATATGTAATATGAATTGATTACATCCAATTATGATTTCATGAATCGTGAATGCAATTTACTTATCTGTTTGATTGATAACTTGTTCTTGTGTGTTCATTAAGGGTGCACATTTAGTTTGCAAGCAGGGATTTGATGCTAAAATACAAGGGAATTTCACCTAATAGTTATGAACTTATATTTACAAGTAGTGGAGGTCGCTAGTCACTATCGTGTTAAGTAAATTCCTGGAAGGAGTATCATGCAGTTCATAGTTACGAATGCCTTGTCAATGCTTATGATTTTCTTAGAACTTAATGATCTTGGATATATATCTCTATTATGCAGTTCATGTAGGGGACTTGATAAGAATAATTTGGTTGTGTCGCTGAGTCCAATTCAATGAATTTAGGAAAATCTGAAAGTTAATTTGTGCTTCTCACGATTAATTTGGGGCATTATCATTCATGGTTTATAGGATGAATAACTGGAAATCGATTTGTATGCATATGTGTCATGTGTGGAGAATGACCCTCTAGCTAGCCTTTCACCCCTAAAAACATCCAATTTCGTATTAGCTTTAGTTTGTGTCTGCAAGTACTTAGTTTTAGCTTTAAATTCGTCAAAACCTATCTCCCCTTCGTCTTACGTGGTTTTAGTTAGAATCTGTCCAAATAGGGTTCTTTTTAGTGTTTTGAGTTTTAATTTTCGTCCAAATCACCCTCTAGTTCTTATTTTGAGTCAATTCAACTTAGTTTTGTGTTATTTGAGTCAGTTTAGCTTGTTTTTTGTTGTTTGAGTCTAGTTTTTAGTTTTTAAGTTTAATTTGTATTGATTAGCATCCCTAACTAATCCCTGGCCTAGAACTATCCCTACTTATCCATACTACAACTATCTTAATAGGGTTTAATTTGTGTGTTAGTTTTTACCACATTAGTTGCTAGCAGTTTGTGACCATTTTTTGCAATGTTAGCCATTCAACAAAGAACATAATTTTTTTTTTCCAAAAAAAAACCAAAAATCATTAAAACTCTAAAAAGCCCCACACAAATTAAGAATGCGAAAGCTTCAACTCATATAACTAAAACAAACCACATACATCAACAAGAAAAAATGCAAAGCGATAGCAAGATAAAGAAAGCCAAAACAAAAAGAAAACTTTGGTGAGTGCAAAGTGGAAAATATTACTGATGAGTGATCATGTCCTTTCTCCTTTGAGCAGCATGCTTGTCCTTCTCAAGTCTTCTTAAACTTTGAGGTATGAATCTCTGGTTGTGCTCATTTTTTCAACAACCACATCCATCAACATCCGCTCCCTTAGTGACATTGCACAACAAGATAGTCCTATCTACATCACTAAAACCAAGCATTCCTTTACTTTCATTGTTTTTAACGGACCACGATTGTTACATCTAGATGGAGTTCCATGATTGTTAAGTCAAGATGGAGTTTGTTCTTGTACTATGTCATCGTTAACATCACCATCTGCTTCGAGGTCGACCAGAATTGAAAGGTTAACAACGTCCATCACATGGCTAGGCAAAGCCATGACTATGAATTGGTAAATGCTTAGATCGTTTTTGAACATGTCATCAGTAGGTCTTTTTCCTGTAAATATTTCCAGCAACAGTATCTCATAGCTATAAACACCTCCAAGTGTGGAAACTTGGCCTCCCGTGCCATACTCTGCCAAGACATCCATACAATAAGATGTCATATGCAATTGACAATTAAAACAATATATTTTTCAGATTTTTATGTTACTTATTTTCCAACCAAGAAAAAAAAGGCAGTAATACATTTTTTTATTAATTAGTGCTTAGTGGTATTAACTAAGAACATAAAAAGTAAGTTAGAATGATATAAACTCATACCTGGAGGAATGTAGCCTATAGAACCTTTTAGCTGAGATGACATGGTTTGACTAAAGGAAGGATCATTTGATGTTTCGAAAAGGAACCTTCCTAAACTAAAATCCCCAACATGGGCTACCATATCTTCATCGAGAAGTACGTTGCTCGGCTTTAAATCGTAATGAACAATAGTTGTTTCACAATGGTGATGGAGATAATCTAACGCATAAGCAACACCAATGGCAACATCCAATCTTCGAATAACGCTCAATCTGTTACTTAGAGATTGCTCCTCTTCCCTTGGATACAACCTTGAGTCAAGACTTCCATTTTCCATGAACTCGAAAACTAAACTTTTGAAGTCTTTGCCTGATTATCAATGCTCGAGCATGCAGTTATGATCTTGAGAAGATTATGGTGCCTTATACTTCTTAAAGCTTTGGATTCATCAATGAAACTCTTGGAAGCTCCATGTTGTTGAAGGTTAAATACCTTAACAGCAACTATCCTTCCATCACTAGGAATTACCCCTTTATAAACAGAACCAAAACTTCCCGAACCAATAAGATTATTCATAGAGAACCTGTTAGTTGATTCAACGAGTTGTGAGTAGGAGACACCTAATTTCCAACCCATATAAGAACGCAAAGTTATAAGTCCATCTCTTGACTTTTTCAGCATTGAACAAGCAACAAAGAAGCATGATAGAGCAATTACGATTGCAAGTGTACAAGCTGTAGGAATGACTACTTTGGGAGAAAGCGGTCCTCGAGATGAATGGAACTTTTTAGGGGGGCCTGGAGGTAGATAAAATTGTGGGATGCCACCACACAGCCCATGATTTCCAAGAACAAACACACCACCAGCATTTGCAAAAATACCTTCTTTAGGCAACTCACCCTCAAAATCATTATACAAAAGATTGGGATACTTGAGAGCACCAAGCTTGCCTATGAATTCAGGAATCTGCCTAGACAAGTTGTTGCTTGAAATATCAAGTATTTCCAAGCCTTTTAAATCTTTAAGAGATTGAGGAATTGTTCCTTCAAACTTATTACCTTGCAAATACAAGTGCTCCAAACTAGTACAACTACCAAGGTTGCTCTAGAGCACCCGATAAATTGTTTCTTAATACATTTAGCTCCGTGAGATGCACTAAATCACACACCTCAAAGGGCAGCAGACCAGTCAAATAATTGTCAGACAGGTCTAAAGAAATTGAAAGGGTTGAAAGCTCCATAAGCATTTTAGGTATGGTGCCCATAAGGTTGTTACTTGAAAGGTTAAATTCTAAAATGTTTCGGTAGTTTCCAAGACTTGGAGGTATATTGCTCTCAAACCCGTTTAACCCCATGTGGAGGTTTAACACTAAAGTCATACTACCAAGGGAAGACGGGATTGACCCAGAAAATTGGTTAACATCCAAATACAGTTGCTCTAACTTCTCTAGCTTCCCAATTTCAAGAGGGACACTACCGCCCAAATAGTTATGATCAAATGCTTGAGTGGTCAAGTTTATAAGGTTTCCAATTCTGTTAGGGAGGTTTCCATGTATAAAATCCCCCCCCCCCAGTCTAAGTTAATTAAGTTGACTATGGATCCCGGGATTTCTCCTCCAAAATTATTAAGAGTCAAGACCCAAAAACTCCAAACTAGTGCAATTAGCCAAGAAACTGAGAAAATTCAAGTCACCAACTTTTCTATTTCCTAATTGATTGCCGTAAATGTTTAGCCAAACTGAGCTTCGCAAGCTTCCTACACTTTCACCAGAGATTGTCCCATAGAAACCATTTTGAGAAAGTTCAAGCGTCTGAAGTCTAGAAGCATTTGACAATGATATAGGAATACTTCCTCTGAATTTGTTCCCACTGTAGTAAAGTTGTACGAGATTAGGAAGCATAGTGCCAAGATTTGGTGGTAGCTCTCCATGCAACTGGTTTTTAGCAACACTAAAAGTGGATATGGAAGAAATATTATAGATTGTGGAAGGGATCATACCAGATAGATTATTCTCCTCAACTACGAACTCCTCTAAACCTATTATATGGCCCAACTCATTGGGTATGCTTCCTTGAAAATTGTTCTCACCAAGAAAAAGACTGCTCAACAAAGAATGAACTCGGGCAGGAAATTGAACAAAACCAACTTACGGTTAGTACATCAATGCTCCATCATTGTTCTAAGACACAACAAATGAGAAAACCGAAGTTTAATTTGCACAATAGCATGCAATAGAAGAAATCTTCTCACATGTAAGAAACAACACTTGATTGGATGGCCATACAAATTAAGATAGACCAACTTAGTGTACAACTACCCTATCATTTATTGATTGGGTTGCTTCGCTTGCGGCTGGAGCTCCAAACCAACAAGACCTTGATACCTGCCTATTTCACTTCTAAAACTAAAAAAGATTTCCACGTTGTCGTTTATGTTAGATTTTGTTGAATAAGCAGAATTTTTGTCAACCGAATTCCAAATTTTAGCGCTACAATAATGTTCACCACTGCTCTTCCACGCCATTCACCGACCACACTAGCAACCATTCACATCAGTCGCCGCCATGTGTGTTGGAGTTTATGTATTTATTTAATTCAATATTTTTGAATGAAAAAAATGCTAGTGAAACTTTTCAAATGGAATAGAATTACTCTAAAGGAATCAATGCATTCCTTGGTAAACGGTATCATCTAATAGATGAATGTTTGCATCTCTTAATCAACCAGTATCTTAGGTTTAATATAAACTCAAGTTAGTATAGCCAAGGGATATAACAAGAATTTAAAGATTAGAGTTTTCTCAAATACTTTTTATTCATTATTGTTGAATTCGGAGCCGCGTTTTAAAAGTACGGATATATTGGGTTCGTCAAAGTCCTAAGATTGAAATGCTTCAACTTTGAATTATATATCGTTGAATCCTGAGAGATGAAAGTCTACCAAACTACAAGTACAAGAGTAGGGGTGAAATTTTGTCTTTTTGACATTGATTTTATTCAAGCCCCAATTTCCATGTTTGTCAGTACTTTTTACTTTTCCTCTAGTTGTTTACATTAATCTTGTTTACAATTATTGTTGCTATTTTCTTTATGATTATTATCATAGATATTCTGTATCATTTTCATATATTTCTATTATTGCTCCAACAATGTAAGGACAAAATTTATTTATTTATGCAATAATTAGAAAATATGAGCAATTCCCATAAAGCCTAGGGCTTTACAATGGCAATAAAAAGATGTTGCAATTTGACATAATCCTAGTCCTCTTTTGTAGAAAGAAAGAAGATACGTGCATAGATGAGATTCAACTAAGCCCGAATCTTTCCAATTTCCGTAGAAAGATTTGAATTGATCATTTGGGCTAGATGGCATGCTGTAGATTATAAGTTCATGAGTTCTTGCAAGCAAACACAATATATACAGAAAAATATATAATAGATAAATGCATGCAGGTCTTGAGGGGTGATGGGCAAAAATATAACCCAATATTGCCTTTAAAAAATTAGGCGACGAAAATTGGTGGTCCTAAATTGAACCAAAGCCCAAACGGGCTAAAACCGTGAAAATCGTGGAGCCCAGGCCTAAAAAATTGGGATGGGATCAAGTTGGGCGAAGCATGGAAGAAGGCAGCAAGCCTTTCTGGGCTTCACTGGGAAGAGGCCCACACAGGGCAACTGGCTGGAGGCTCATTAGGGACCCAATCCAGTGCACCACAGCGCAGTGGACACCACAACAACAGTGTGATAGGATCACATAATGTAACAGTGCAGAAAGTAAAGGAAAAAGGGAAAGAAATAACTAAAACATCTTGATTTTCATTTCATGCCTTTCCCAAAAGGTGAAAGGGGCTTAAATACAACCCTAAAGGAGGAAAGCTCAGATTGGAACACATCTCCATCGTCACAACCGTTGGATGAAACCAACTTCTACACAGATAAGACAAAAGACCACAAAGATGGGAATTCACAGCTGTCTAATATTTGTAAGGTCCTAACAATCCTGCCCCCTAAGAAGGAGCTTGTCTTCAAGCATTGAAATCTGGGAAGCGGTCGAGAATGGAGGCAGCATCCTTCAAGGTAGCATCATGGTCGGGAAGGCCCATCCATTTGATAAGCCAACGTGTGACAGCCGAGTTACCTTTCTTGATCATGCCACGCTGCAAAACCTTCTCCGGAGTCCAGGTCACCAGCCCCGTATCAGACAGAGGTGGAAGCGCAGTCGACGCAGCCACGTTGGAGCCGAGTTTTGGCTTGAGAAACGAGATGTGAAACGTGGGGTGGATGCGGGAACCAGGTGGCAAGTCCAAGGTGTATGCAACCTTCCCTACGCGAGCGAGGACCTGGGAAGGCCCGTAGAATTGGGGTGCCAGTTTGAGACAATTGGTGTGATGGACAGAGGATTGGCGGTAAGGCTGTAAGCAAAGGAAGACCCAATCGCCCACTTGGAACTCACGCTCCGAGTGCTGTTTGTTGGCGTAGTGGCGCATACGATCTTGAGCTTACTACAGATTAGCACAAAGGAGGCGGAGCAAAACATCTCGGTCCCGAAAGGAGGTGTCCACAAGGTAGACTGAGGAAGAGCCTGGGAGATATGAGGAGACGCGAGGAGTAAGGTAGCCATACATAGCCTCAAATGGAGTCATCTTGGTGGATGAGTGAAAAGTGGTATTGTACCACCACTCCGCCTATGGCAACCAGTCAACCCAAAAGGTGGGCTTGTCGCCGATGAAGCTACGCAAGTAATGTTCCAAGGTGAGGTTCAAAACCTCAGTTTGGCCATCAGATTGGGGTGATAAGCCGAGCTGCAGCAAAGATGCGTTCCTTGGAGTTTGAAGAATGACTCCCAGAATGTGTTGATGAAAATAGGATCCCGGTCGCTGACGATGGTCGTGGGCATGCCATGGAGGTGAAAGACCTCACGGAGAAAGATGTCTGCCACCTTGGTTGCTGAATATATATGATTGATGGTAATGAAGTGGGCATACTTGGAGAGTTGGTTGACTACCATCAAAATTGCATTGCGTCTGTAGGTGTGGGAAAGGCCGTCAATAAAATCCATGGCAATATTTGTCCAATTCTGAGAGATGATGGGAAGTGGCTGAAGCAACCCTGGTGGTTTAATGGCCTCATAGTTGTTTCGCTAGCAAATATCACAACTGGCAACAAGGGATTTGACTGCTTGCTTTAACCCCGGCCAATTGAAGTTTCGACGAACTCGTTTATAAGTCCGAAGAAATCCCGAGTGGCCTATGGTGGGGGAACAGTGAAATTCTTGAAGAATACGATGGCGTCATGGGGAGGAAGCCACAACGAAGATGCCACCTCTATAATACAGAAGGTCTCCACGAAGAGAGAAATGGGCGCACGACCGCTGGTTGTTATGCAAGTAGAGGTCGCGGGCTGAAGGGACGAAAGGGGCCGCGGTGGCGTTGATGCTTATTGTCATAAATGCGGGCAAGCTCGATGGCCCGAGACAAGGAGCGAGGGGTCTGGGCCACAATATCATCTTGGAGTTCTGGTTTAAGCCTCCCAATGAAAACCCCCAAAAGTTGTGAATTGGACCAGCCTTGGGCCCGACAGGATAACCGAATAAAGCCACAACGAAGATGCCACCTCTATAATACAAAAGGTCTCCAAGAAGAGAGAAATTGGAGCACAGCTGCTGGTTGTTATGCAAGTAGAGGTTGCAGGCTGAAGGGATGAAATGAGCCGCGGTGGCGTTGATGCTTATTGTCATAAATGCGGGCAAGCTCGATGGCCCGAGACAATGAGTGAGAGGCCTGGGCCACAATATCATCTTGGAGTTCTAGTTTACCCCCAATGAAAACCCCTAAAAGTTGTGAATTGGACTAGCCTTGGGCCCAACAGGATAACTGAATAAAGTCAGTGATGTAGTCATCCAATGGCCTTTTTTGGGAAACATGGGAAAATGACATGTTGAAGTCCAATTGGTTACCAGGCCTAAACCGTTGGAGAAGAGAGTCGGTGAAGGTGGCCTAGAGTTTGGATCCGACATGAAGCTTATACCAATTGAACCAAAGAGCCATATCGCCGATAAAGTATAACCCTACAATGGTGACCCGGTGTGCCGCATCAACCTCGTGATAATCCATGTACTCTTCAGCGAGAGCCAACCAGCTGTACGGATCGTCCCCTGAGAATCAGGGAAGTTCGATCTTCATGTGCTTAGGTCCAGGGGAAGTGGGGTGGGGTGGGTAAGGGAACGGAGGTGGTGGGTGAAAAGAAGATGATGGGAGATGGGTACGGTGGGTGGTGGGTGGTGGGAGGAAAAAGGGAACCGAGGGGGAACGAAGATAAGGGGAACCGCAGGTGTGAGGCGGAGCAGCGGAAGGAAGTTGAAAGGGGTGTGAAGGCGGGGTGGGGTGGGAGGCCGGTTGAGGCAGCGGGGTGGAGGACGATCCCAAGGGAATCTAAAGTGACCCGATTGGAATCTGGGGACAGGATGTGGATGCGGACGGCGGTTGCTTGGAGGCACGAAGCTCCTCCATCAGATGGGTTTGGACCAGGCTAATATTAGCTAAGGAGGCCTGGATTTCCACCAAGTTCGACTGGAAAGACTTCTGCCGAGTGGCCAACAGAGACACTGAGTTATGGAAACTATTGAGTTGTTTCAAAATATGATGTTGTTAGTACTCCAGTTCGAGATCAGCCTTTGTGACGTCGACTACGACCACATAAGCCTTGTTTTTGCCCATGAATGGTAGCAACCTAGCTCTGATACCAGATGATAGGATCACATAATGTAATAGTGCAGAAAGTAAAGGAAAAAGGGAAAGAAATAACTAAAACATCTTGATTTTCATTTCATGCCTTTCCTAAAAGGAGAAAGGGGCTTAAATGCAACCCTAAAGGAGGAAAGCTCAGATTGGAACACATCTCCATCGTTACAACCGTTGGATGAAACCAACTTCTACACATATAAGACAAAAGACCACAAGGGTGGGAATTCACAGCTCGGCGTGGGGTTTTCAAAACCCTAGTTTTATTTATTTAATTTTTTTCAAATCTTTTATAAATATCAATTCATAATAATTCAACAATTATGAATATAATACATGAACAATTTAAGTATAATCTAAAATTTGTAAAACGTAAAATTGGGTCATGGATTATGGTGAAGGTTCATGCGATCATAACTGAAAAATGTCGAGATAAAAACTGTTGTTTTGAAAGAACCTGATTGCGTTAGGATATTGATTGTTTGTAGCAGAAAATTCCCCTTCAGATTCCTTAACGCAACAAAAGAGAGTGCTAATATCGTATTGTAGCCTATTTAAGTAAAAGGGAGAGGAGTGTTGCGGCAAGAGACAAAGTGGAGAAAGTGTAGAGATTTCTTATGTGAATTAACTTAGTGTAGAGATTTCTTATGTGAATTAACTTGTCCTCCAAGTAAATACAATCATATAGGGAAAGAATAATTAGTAACCAAATCTATTTAGGATTTACACAAGGGAAATGATAAACACACACCTTTTATAGCTTCCTACACACCCCTGGCTAATCATGTCCGTTGTTTTCGTTTGATTTATTTAATCCGATGGCCTGGAACAAAGAGGGGTGTGGGAAAAGCTATAAAAGGTGTGTGAAAATCAGCTCCCTTTACACAATCATAGTCCAAGAATATCTAAACAACATAATATTATATCAATATTAAGGCAAAATAATAAAGGCTTTTTTTATCCAAAATGGTCCATGAGATTTGCATAACTTCTCATTTTGGTCCATGAGATTTAAAATCAATAGAATTGGTCCCTGATTTTGTCCACCATCAATCATTTTGGTAATTCCGTGAAAAATCTCTAGTAAATAAGGATAGAATGACAAAAATACTCTCAATTTTTGTCAAATCATTTTGACCTGTTGTTTATTAAATTGAGAGTAGTTTTGTCATTTTAATCTTTATTTGACATAACTATTCACAGAATGACCAAAATAATTGATAGTAAACAATCTCAAGGATCACTTGTATTGAATTCAAATCTCAGAGACCAAAGTAAGGAATTATGCAAATCTTAGAGACTATTTTGACTAAAAAAACGGATAATAAATTCCATATATAAAGAATAAAATGAATTGTGTATTTGAAGAAGTTTGAGAGTATCTAAAAACTAAAAATATATGAATTCCGATTTACGTTCGAAAATTCCACTCCGAATTTTTGCACAACCATAGTATGTGGTCTGCCAATTTAAAATAATGAAAACTTACAAGATCAAGTATAAAAACTAAACATTAATACCACACCAGATCGGTATAAAGTGATTAACGGATGGTACGAATATGAACTCATTATTGTTCTCAATCTTCTTTTCTTAGTTTACATATATTTTCCTGGATGAAAGAATTCCGGTCGATTCGAATATTGTCAAGCAGACCCAAGTATTCATCCCACACAGACATCAAGATTTCAATTCAATCCGGTATAAAAAATTCCTCACATTACAGATTTAGCTAAATTGAGCTGCCAAATCAACCCTACTTTAATTCAGCGATAACTATAACTAAAACGCCACTTTCTGTAAGTTCAGTTTACACGCTGTTGGCATCGGCCATATCCCTGTTAAGAAGTCCCGTTAACTGCAGCTGCAGTGTGCATGCTCAGGTCTTGACCCTGTGGCACAACATGTCCATACCCACCATAGCCCTGTCCTCCATAATGTGCTCCGTTCCACTGGTTACTTGAATCCGACCTCCACTGAAAAAACACTTAGTCAATAATGAGATAACACAATGCGGGAGGGAAGCTCTGAGGATTCTATGTGCAAAACTGGTAGATAACTACCCTAGGGGACAATTCATTCAACTCTTAGAAATGTAAGGTTTTAGGTTTAGGGGTGGGGTCGAGAAAGTGCAGGGATTCTACATTCTAAAATGGTGGAATATACAACAAAGGATGGGGCATAAACATTATTGTCGTATTCTAATGTTGCTGACATTGGGATCTTTTTGAAGTGCAAGAAGAGAAGGGGGGAAGGACGGGGGATTATGTGTGGCCCTCCTATGTTGTAAAGCAACATAAAGATCAAACCAGACAAATGCCAAGATAAATACAGGTGATATTCAGGAATACATTTCTGAGTGTTATATAGCTTAATAGCCAGCAGATAATTAAATGAAATAATTGACCTAGTATTACCTGCTTGTTCCCCTGACTGCGACCCCAAGAAAGTCGAACTGTTTGCTTGCCAATAACCGTTCCATTCAGCATCTGTATTGCGTTCTCAGCATCCTTCCTGCAAATCGAAACAATATTAGGGAGTCCGTTACATGGTTTTTGGCTCCACATAATAAGATTACAACATTACTATTTACCTCCTTCAGTCTTCAACAATTTTGATCATATTTCTTTTATACAGTTTATTATTGAATAAATAATTGTAACATTGATATTTGACATTGCAGCTTTAGCTTTATTTCCAAATAACAAGATATTAGGACCCATATATCTTAAATGAGAAGGGTACCTATTAGCAAACTGAACAAAACCACAAGCTTTTCCAACTGGTATTTCACAGAGACAACTTCACCGAAATGAGAAAAAGGCTGCCGGAGGTCTTCATCATTGACCTCAGAATCAAGCCCTCCAACAAATATCTACAATAGTGATAGATTAAAGAGTTATATAGGGTTAATGATACTTTTAACGGGAAAGAAGAGACAAACTTACAGTTGTGTTATTGGGCTCACTGTCAAACTGGGACCCTTGGGCGACGGCAACATTTGATGCATGTCCACCACCAGCCAATACCAATGCTAAATCAAGAGGATAAAAGTAATACATTTAGTATGAAATACCATTCAAAATGCACAGCTTAATAAAAAATAAACTTGCATTTTCTACTGTAGTGCTAGTAGTAATGATTGATTCTAGATCCAGGCTTGTTATCTTTTCTTTCCTTTCAGATGGGGGCAAGTGTAACAGTGGATTTGTTTGGCACAGAGTGCCATAGAAGGTTAAAACATAATGGCATTAGGGCCTAGTAGTTATGTTTGGCACAGAGTACCCTAGGCGCTAGTCGGGTGGCAGGTTAGGGACTAGCGCCTAGAGGGTTAGGCAGGGGCCTAGGCGGATTTAAGTACATTTATTATATATCGTATAAATAAATGCCTATTTATACTTAAAAATACACAATTGTATTGGGATACAAAATTGCTAAGTAGAATGACATATAGATTATAAAGCATTACAACATATTGAAAACATGGGAAAAAAGCATATAAGGAGGTTCATCCAAGTATCAACAAGTCACTTACAGTTTAGTGAAAAATATAAAATGCAAAACGAACGCTATCTATGTTCTGTCTAAGTAAGAGTAGTGACCTAGGCAGGTGCCTAGATGGGGTAGGCGGGCACCTAATTAGGTCTAAGGGCCCTTTCTTAATTTTGAAAGGCCTAGAGATTAATCGGGGGGTGGCCAGCCGTCTATCGCCTAGGCGGTGCTTGGCGGGGATTTTTAGAATGGTGAATATAAATATATTATACCTTCTCAATACTCTTGTCACGATATGCTTACCATATGAAATGAAAACTGCCACTCTAAAACATGGTTTTGAAATTCTTTTAAAAAAGTGGTATCCCTTGTCTTTCAAATGTGCTCTCTTGTTGCTTGTTTTAGAAAATCCTCTGCCCACTAAATGATGTGACTCCATTTGTCAACAACAATTTATCTATCAAACTTTTTTGTTGGTAACAATTTATCTAACAAACTTTTTTGTTGGTCAACCTTTTAGCGTTTACTTATTATGCATGGCCAAATCTGTACCTAGTGAGAACTGAGAACTCAAATGACATCATACGTATGAACCCAAATGAGAATTCAAATGACAACACAAGTAAAAATCCAACTAGCTTAGTGGAAACCTACTCTTTCTAAAAAAAAATATAAAAAATAAACTAACAATGCATGTGAGATTGCATAAGCTTAACTTCTCACTTTGAATTTAACCTCAACTAAATTTTAGAATTAAAAATTTTAGGAGGGATATCATCTAAATTTCTAAAGATTACCCAACTTAGTGAAGACAATTTGCAAAGATATGAAAAAGTACTCACAGATGAAACCACTACATACACACATTACTTGTCAGCAATTAAATGGCTTACTTGTTGGTTTCATCGAAGCAGTTAAGAATGATGTTGAACAAGGATAAAATATTAATAGAAGAACACAATATGATAAAAATTCCCCAAATGAGGCAGGAAAAGAAATTCCCCAGAATGTGTAATTGTAATTGAAACATTCTTTTGAAGATGTTAATCTCAGCAACAACAAATACATCATAGATTTGGTATGTACAAAAAGTATTTACCATACAGGAAAGGACCTTATCAAACTCTCAAAACAAAACCTAGAACCTAAGAGATAGACCATAAAATGGGAATCGAAGAAAACAAATAATCCAAAAAACAAAAACTAATAAAATTCACTCATGGCTTGAGTATTGAAAAGGGAAAATAAAACAGAAAGTTACATGGACCGCGGCGCTTCCAACAATTGAAGAAATAGTGATGATTTGTACTACCCATTGCTTTAGTAGAAATGGAGAAGCTCTCTAATAAAAGATACTGGAGAAAGAACAAAATAGAGCAACAAAAATAGACGAGACTATGCAATGATGCTGCCTAGAACTCAATCACAACTTTTTCTGAACCCCTCCCAACTCTTATTTAAAACCATCTAACACTCACCTTACATCAGAAGACAAGCAGATACAACTGACATTAAATGATCATAGAGAAAAGTACACAATCAACAAAAAAAGGGAATTGGAGAGCATTAGTAAGTACAAGTATGTAAATGATAAGCTAGACTTATTATCAAATGCGCTTGGACAAAAATGAGCGGATTTATGATGGATATATATATTCATAAAGACAGCCACAAGACAATCAATATTAAGCAGCAAAGAAGAAAAACGGGGGCATTATATCATACCTTGTGAAGAATACTGTTGCTGATATGCAGGTGATTTTTTGGGTGTTGCAACACCTATGCGCATGGCCCTGCTTGAACAATACGCACCATTCATTTCAGCAATGGCCCTTGACCTCTCATTTTCATCACCAAACCTAACAAAACCATAACCTTTTGAACGTCCAGTATTTGCATCTAGAACAACTTTTGCTCCCTTAACAGATGAATATCTACTAGAAAAAGTCTCCTGCAACATAGTGTCAGTCACATCTGTAGCCAAATCTCCTACAAAGATAGATAGATCAGAACTAGGTTCTGCTCGTCTATCACCAGCACTGAAGGTTGCCCAGTTCAAACGAAAAGGCTGCTCTGTATTCGGCATGGGAGCTCCGTTACAGTTCTGCAAAACTTCTTCAGCTACTTCACGTGAATAGAACTCAACAAATCCGTATCCCTCTGACTGACCAGTTTGCTTATTGCGTATAACCTTTACTGAGGAAACCTGCACCGTTTGTGACACCAAAAGCACATAGTTAGTGGTAAAGTAAAGCTCTTACCCAAGAAAATGAATACACAGAATTTATTTTTTTTCAAATAAAATTATAGATATTAGCGTGTCTTATTAATTGTTATTGGAGTGCACTTAAGACCGTCACAATGGCAAATAATTGTGGTAACATGGGGAAATCTCCACATAAGGGGGCTGTTGGTTCCTAGTTTCAAGTTTCACTTCTTAAGATTTGTTATTCTATATCCTCATAGTTGATTAAAGAAATAGGGAAGAACAGGCCCATGATACATTGCTTCTCAATTGCTTCAGTTCTCATAATCGAATGATGCTTTTATCATGTTTAAGACAGATGGTAATTATTAGAACTTGACATCAGATAACAACCCAAAAAGATGTGACCTAACTAGAAAGACAAAAAAACAGAGAAAGACATTGCAACTGCACTCTAACAAACATTTGGCATTAGTAAACAAAAGGCTGTAAAAAAGCAACATAAGGTAACTACACAACTAAAGAACACCTTAGTGCCCAATATTCACCATCATTCACTTGACCCCAAAGCAGGGAAGGATGACAAGCTGGAAACGGAAGATTACTCGTCCATATCAATTATAACTACCAGATGATCGGATGTCCTGAATAGTATTCAAACAAGGATTTTTAGCTCTGCAATAATTGACAATTGACCAATCTGCCGGAGCACCTGTAAACTATATACAGTACAGACAGTATTCAAAACGTGGCATAAGAGATTAACACCACATGAATGGTTTGCAGTAGAATGGACATTGCCATGGGGAGTGGATCAACTGCTATTGCTCCCTCAGTCCCTCTATCCGAAAACACGGTAGTCACTCAAGAAGGGTTTCGCATTTAATTTGTCAAGCTATGGTCATTGTTGCATGCAGCAAGAAACTGTTGCTAGGAATCTCACATATTCAACGGTATTCAAAGACCATATACACTGGTGTCGGGTTGTGGGATACTATAAGCTGAACCAGCCACCATCTACAATAAATAGAGTTGACCCAACATAACCAGTAAAGAAACGGAGCTCGCCACTGAACATACTCAACTAACCGAAACCTGCATCATTTCTATCTAGGTATAGTCATCTTGATATACCAAGACTGAATTTTGTAGTGAGTAGTTGGCATTAACCTTACTCTTTCAATCATTGTTCCGTTTCTAACTACCGAAAAACCGCAAAGATAAGCTAGGATATACGCTATGACAATCACATAACATTCAATCATAAAAGAAACCATCTACCTCCAATCAATCATAGAGCTGTAATTATGTAAAATAAACTAAAACCCACAATTCTTTTCATCAAAATTTCAAAACTTTAGCTAAACTAAAACCCACATGAGTTCATACATGAAGTCCACTGAAGCTAAAAGCTGACCTGTCCAGTGTGAGCAAAGCATCCGTGAAGGTAAGTCTCGTCCATCCAATGATGAAGGTCGCCGACCCAGATGGTCCTGACCTCCTCGGTGGGCCCCTGTTTCTGGGACGGCGAATGCTGCTGCTTCGGCGGCTGATGCTGCTGATACGCCACAGCCTGAGGCTGCTGCTGGTATGGATTGTGGTGAGGATGATGGGGAGTCGCCGCATATGGCATGTAATGCTGCGGGTACACCATCATCTGCTGCTGCATCATCGCCATCGCCGCGGCCGGGTACTGCATGGCCATCCATTGCTGCTGCTGCTGCTGGTGCATCCATTGATGTTGCTGCTGCTGCTGCTGTTGTTGCTGTTGTTGTTGCAGCTGCTGCTGCTGAGTGCCCAGATCGGTGCCTCCATTAGATTGCTGGGCCATGATGGAGTTCTTCTGAGGTTGTGATTCTCTTCTCTTCTCTTCTCTCTGCACCTCTCTCTCTCTAGAATTCTTGGTTCTCTGTGTTCTTTGAGATTTGAGGAGAGAGAGCAGAGAGAGCTGTTTGAAGCTAGAGAGAGAGGGAGGGAGGGAAGGCAGGCGAGGTCTGCGCGGAAGCGGAGAGGGGGGTTTCAAGTGACGAAATGGGGTTTTAAAGGGCGGCGGTGGTGTGATTATTGCTTATGATTAGATTTTTTATATTATTTTATTTTAATATGTATATTTTCCATTTTTGAGATGGGACCTCGTTTGCTACGTCCGCCCGTTAAATCACGTTTGCTTGCCGTCCGTGACGTGTGGGGCCCTCCTCAGTCGGTAATTTGCTTTGGGTCTGAGGCCCGAGGGAGTTACTCACGTCCGATGTACATGGATAGCATGGAGTGGATGCTGCTAACTGGTGCTTAGGTGAGCTGGATTGCACGTTATCAATTTTTCACTTAATTTGTCCCCTTTTTTGGCACTTTCTAGCCTTCATATATTGACCAAACCTATTTAAGATATTTGCCGCCGATCAGTAATACGGTTTGATAATATTACTTTTTATTTTTGGGTGGAATGTTTTAAATTTGAATTTTATGGATGATGAATTCAATACCAAAAATAAGTTGTCCATTATATAGCTTAATCGAACTTTGAACTTCCTTATTCCTTTATTGCAAAATATGTCGTTTTACTAAAAACAAAATTAAGCTATTTGACCTTAGTGTCCAGAGTCTAAGGATCAATCCATCTAGGCTGTTGATTAGTATGTAAAAGAAATTAAAGTTATTGGTTTGTGTGTGGTGGACCAACAAAATGAGTTAATAGAGATTGTTGGATTCAATTTGTGTTGCCCATATAAGTTGATCCTTAGGCTTTGGACACTAAGGTCCGGAGCGGATCCAATTCTATAGTAGTAATGCTCAATACCAATTAAATTCTCTAATCCTAATAGACTCGGACTTGAAGACCAGTGCACCAAATGGTCAAGTGTATTGTGCCTAATGATTTTGCCTTGAGATTATTTGATGGCTTATGTGGTAATTTGTACAATTTTTTGATCCACCTGATATGTTAAATAATAGTATCATTCTATAATTTTATTCATTTCTTTGTGGAGTCCAATTATTGAGATAACTAATCAAATACTTGGAAGTATAACGACATTGATTATATAATGCATCACATCCATAAAAAATTATTAAATAAATTTGATAGTCAAATTTGACAACAAAAGGCTTTACTTTCAATTGACTCAACGCCACCACATAAGAAAATGAAAGCTCTGTTGGAGAAAGTGTAATGTCATTTTTTACTATTATATGTCTATATGATAGTTTTGACATTTCTTTTGAAAATGCTCTTAATTAAACCAAAAGGTTGACCAACAAACGTTGTCTCAAAAGGTTGACATTTGCCCTAGAGTCTGGAGATGCTCCTATTCTTTCCTTTTTGAATGAACTCTCTTTAATTTTTGTCAAATATATATACATGAAAATTGTGTACACAAACACTTTTGAAGTTATTTATAGTTAAAAGCAATTAAATTATGAGCTGGTGGTTCTGTGGTAAACAACAGATTACGAGGCTTTCTTAAAACTAAAAGCTGGAGGTCTCGGGTTCAAAACCCGCTGCTAGTGTGGAAGCCAAACTTGTGGCCAAAAGGAGGCTGAAATGACTATAACTTGTCACCAGTTGCTCTCCTTAAAAAAAATAGAGTAAATAAAAGTGACTTGTCACCAGTTATTCTTTAAAAAAAATTAGTTAAAATTAATTATTTTGATATAAAGAAGGTATATTCATGGTCTGTCACTTATAAAGAAGGAACTGTGGTCCTTTTGCCTTTTATATATTGTCACAGATTTGGAGACTCAAGTTTTTGGGTGTTAAAAATAAAAAGTCAAATTTTGGAAAATGGAGATTGAGGTGGTTAAATTTTTGTCCACTGGCCAAAACAGGAAAAAAAAAAAACCTATCTGGGTCCTACAATTGACGCGAGTTATATCTAACGGCCAACAATAGCGCAGCCGACGTAGAATGATGAAAACGCGGTCGTACGCGTTCCTTTTTTTTGTGCCGGATTGTAAATTTTTGACCAGCCTATACCCTCCAGTCAAAACATCCAACATGTCCTACCTCACCAGACAAACAATACATTTGTGAAACAAATACAATACAGGTCGGTAAACCACATTTTCCACTTTTTTTTTTTTTTTTTTTTTGAGAACCCCACCTAACAAATCTTCCAGGATAAGATCACACTTCAAATCGAGAAACTTACATGGACAATGTTCTAACCTGCCAAGTGACACCAAATTTACAGCGTTCTAAACTTACATGCAACTGAAACATCAAGTCAACAGTGTTCTAAATCTGCCAAGTGATGTTATGCGTTTAAAATGTGTTTTAACTCTCATACATGCCATTACGTGATTAATTTAAAATACTGCTATTTTTGTATGTAAATTCTTCTCGACCGAGCACCTTGAACATCGTCTCCATTTGGATTTGTAATACAATGGCATCCCTTAAAGTTGCAGGGGAACAGAGTTTATAAAGAATGTGTCCGGCCAAATGTGAGGGTCCTTCATGGAAGCAAGAAGACATCTCAGGTGGCCGGCCATCTGTACGACGGATGAGGATCCTCTCCGGATCCTCTTTATGGGGATCTAAAAGATCAATCGATCGTGTCTATTTGTCGTACATAGTGCGGCTAGTTTTCGTTAAGTCTTGTTAGTGTTTAATTTTAAATAAAAATATATAAAATAATTTATGACCGCACGACGTACGATAAACAGACACAATTGATTGATCCTCCGGATCCCCACAAAGAGGATCCGGATAGGATCCTAATCCCTGTACTACAAATTGCTCCAAAGTATTGTGAAGATAGGTAAAAGGTTAATTGACGACTAATAACAAGTTGCATTGGTAAATTTCTGAAGATTTTCATACGTTGCAAGGTGAAACTGCAACTTTCTCTATTGATTAGCTTGAATACAACAACGATGTTTCTCGTAGAGGAGAGGACAAAGAATCAATTGAATATTAAACGAGTGTGGCAAAAACGAAGCAAAAATTGAGTGACAAAGAAGCTACAATCAAAATTAGAGGCTGCAGCCAAAATTCCAACAGGGAGGTAACCCGTTAGCTTCTGCGGCTGAAGACGAAAGAAGAAACAAAAATGTGAAAAGAATAAAGCAGGGTTTATACATCGCCTCACTACTGTTTACCTTCTTCGATAATCCGCACTGAGGAAGCTTTCATACTGTGTTCCTGTAAGTGTCTTTTGGACGTCGCCCCAATTCTCAATCTGACTAGACAAATTACCTTTGTGTATCTTCACCTGGCGACTCTTTAAATCCCTTTTTGGAACCTTAAGAAAATCTTGAACATCAAGCAACTTCTGCAAACACACAAAATTGAAACTTTCAGAGGTTGGTGTTCTTTATTTTCTACCCTTTTTTCGGGGCGCTGGTTTAAGGAAAGAGGAGGGTGGAGACAAAAATACTGATGCACAACCATTAATTTATTGCAAACAACAAAATGAAAAATCAGTTTAGCATTCATAATGTTTCTCTTACAGTGCGGTTTTTTACGATATCCTCATAGTAGAGAATAATATGACGGGTGCTCTTGAAATATTCCAAAGCTTTCGTGGTTGTATCCTGTACTTGCTTCAGGTTGGGTATTAGCAAAGTTGCATTGATTGTAGGCTTGTATTTTGCAAGTATTTCTGCCTGTAGCCATGACATGTAATAAGTTTTCAAATCGAGTTAAAAACAAGCAATTCACTTTTCCTTAAAAACCTTGCATATGAGGGAGGGAGACACAGACCTCGTGAGGAGAATGCACGTGAGACTTGTGGGTCCCATTAAGCAGCTTATTATCTCGGTCATACAAATTTGCAAGGACAGAGATCATCCTCCGCAACAGATTTCTTCGAAAGAGAAAGATAGCAGAAACGCCCCGTGTATTGAAGTACTCTACTATTTCTTCGTGATGCTGCATCAAGCCCTGCATAAAATGTTGCAATATTTAATTGGCTGGTCCATGCATGAAACAAGAAAATGCAGAGCAGAACAAGTTAAATTGTTTCTCATGAGCTAACCAAACTATTGCCTACTGGTCATATTCCACCCTAGAACAAGGAATCTGATACAAATATAAACATAAAGAAAGAATTTCAGACCAATTGGTTATGAGAAACAAATTGGGTGGACATTTCGATGGACCAAATTAAAGTACTAGATGGATAAACCCAAATCTTAGTTTGCACCGAAGTTCTTTCTGACCAAGACTTGTATCCATGTAACTACCATACCAATCAAGTTTGAAATGTTACTCAACTCATCCTCCTTTGTTAAGAATCATTCATTAGTTGCAGTGAGATGGTCCTATACTTTAAAATATAAGGTCTTCATTACTTACAGGATGTTCTTCACTCAGTGACATGATATGATGAACAATATCTAGATCCATCAGTTTTCATGAAATCTATATGCTTCTTGCTAATTAAATTGTATCATCCCTTCGATACCCTAAATTACTTTACTTGAAGGCTAGCTTCCTAATAGGCTCTTCAGTTTCATTCAGGACAAGCAGTTCTTAATGATAGCACTGCCTATGTCTCTAAAATATGTCGTAATGCAAATACTGAGCATTCATGCATCAATACATAATCTAAACAAAGTGTGAGACTAATACCATCTTTTTGTAATGTACAAATTTCATGGAAGCAACTTAACTCCTGAAGTGCTACACATTAGCATATAAAATTCAAGCTTAACAGTTGTCCAGAAAATCATTGTCTATTTTCAGCCATCTCTCAACCCGTCCCACTAGCCACCAGTGAGATACAAAACAAGTGCAGGATCGTCATTGGGACAATCATCCATTCATACTTGCCGACCATCGATGACCCTAGAAGATACTACCGTATCCAATCACACATGCCCGGTACCACTCTCCACAAATATGCATTTTTATCATTACAATAACACAAGCTTCTTGGCAGGACTTGAAACTATACATTTTACTACAATATCTGCAATTGTTACAACTTACAAAAGAGGTAAACAATTGGGCAAGTGAGTCCTTAATGTTACTTTTGCTAAGTATAACTTGCTATCTAACACAAACAAGCTAGGCCTTTATTGAGGAATGAAAATTTCCTGTCGAAAATA